GCTGAGCTTGGGGAGGGACCCTGATCTCATCCGGGTGCTCAGCATCAGCTGCGTCCCTATGTGTGTACAACGGTGTGGTGGTTTTGACCACATGAATTTGAGCACTTTCCTTGTGAATGTGTTTTGCGCTATTTTGACTCATTTCCACATTGGGCAGTCTCTAAGTAAAGAAAAATATGCCCTGTGCTTGCCTGGGACCTTGTCCTTCCACACTCCAGCCCTGCTGCCTTTGGCCCCACATGTCCTCAGCAGATCCCAGGGTTGGTTGTGTGTTCCTGCCTTGTGAGCCCGTGGAGCAGCCCCGTTTGCATGGACACACGTGAAGCACGGATTTGTCTGTGGCCGCACACTGGAGAGCACGGCCCTGTGTCTGTGCGTGTGTGTCCCAGATCGGGAGGGAATTTCCTGAGCATGCCAGGGACAGCGAGCAGTGCCCTGGCCCTGAGCAGCACAGAGCAGCAGCTTGCCAGGCTCGCCAAGAGCCCGAGCGCAGCTGAGCGGGGCCGGCAGCTGCCCGCTGCAGGTGCGTGCAGGGTGGATGTGCTTGCCATGCGGTGTCGCTGCTGTGTGCGATGGGCCACAGCTGTCCCTTGTCCCTGGCCACGGCAAAGGTCCTGGTGTGGCTCGTGGCGCTGGTGGCGTGAGAGGCGGGGGCTGAGGCGGGTGGCGGGGCGGAGCTGGCGGCGGCGGAGAGGAGGCGGCACGGCCGCAGCAGAGCCGGGGCTCAGCGGCACAGCGAGGCTCGGCCGGCGGAGCGGCGGCATGCGGCGGGCTCGGGGCGCGGCGCTGGCCACGCTGATGATCGGTACGTGGGGGTGCCGTACAGGCCGGTTCTGAGTTGGGGTGATCCTGCAGATGCCCGGATGCTGCCGTCCTGCCTGGCTTCTTGCCAGGACTTTTCTCCAGAACTGTTCTCTTGTTAATCCTTCCTTCTTCTCCATCTCATACTCCCACATAAATCTCCGGATTGTATTCTATGATAAACCGGGACAATCATTCCTTCTTTAGAACTCACAAAGTTGGACCATAGACCTTGCTTATTTTCTTATTGCCTTTTTCTGCTTCCTCCCACATCGTCCCAGTCTCCTGCAACTGCACTGATCGTTCTGTCATTCACTCATTCATTTCTCCACAAACGATTCATTAACACTTCCATTGCTGCGCATCTTCTTGGCATCCTCTGGGAAATGTTTTCCTCCTCATCTCCCTGTGTTCCTGACTGCTTCTGTGGGTTTTGTTCTGGGGATTGGCAAGCAGAACTGGATAGAAAGCAGGAGTTGTCGTTTGTTTGTTTTTTCTCCCTGGCAGTGTCTGCGGTCAGAGCCCAATTGGAGCAGGAGCCATTCCTGGAGACCGTCGAGGGCAGCAGCATCAGCATCAAGTGCTCTCACCCCAATATCCAGAGGGGCGATTTCATTCACTGGTACCGTCAGCTGCCGGGCAAAGGGCCCGAACTCGTGGTCATGACTGTGCAAGCGTCCAAGGAGGTGCGATCCCCTGAAGGGCGCCTGACGGTGTCGGCAGATCGGCGTCGGAGCGCGCTGTGGCTCGGGCGGCCCCGGCGCGGGGACGCGGCCGTGTATTACTGCGCGCTGGGGCCACGGGCAGAGGAGCCGGGGCTGCGGCCGGGCACGAACCGCCGCGGGCGGGGCCGGGCGGGGCCAGCAGGGGGCGCTGCCGCTCCCGCTCGGCCCGGGCTGCGGCACCGGGACCGACACCGGCACCGACAATGGACATCGGCCCCAGAACCGGCGCCGCCACGGACACAGGCACCGGTAGCGATACCGGTACTGGCGCCGACAACAGCGCCCACACCGGCACCAGCTCCGGCTTTCAGCCACCGACCGTGCTCAGCCCCTCTCCTCAGCCCGGGCTGCGTCCGGCTTAGCTGCTCAAGCCATCAAACAGCCCCACCCGGCCACAGCTACATGTGCACACTGTGATGGTCTATGTGAGGCAGGGCGGGCAGCAGGGTCTTTCCCAAACCGCCTTTTGCTCCTTCAGACAGGGCTCTGTACCTTCTGGGGAACGGGGCAACCTCTAGCCTGTCTGCAAAGGTGGGGCAAAGGTTCTCTTAGAAATGCATCAGTGAGGACACACATTCCCACCCAGCCCATATCAGGCCTCTTCTCCTCTTGCCTTTGTCCTTCTCTTCCCATGCCTGCTGGGCTGGTTTTGCCTTTTGAAAAGGCCAAGTGACAGCTCAAGGTCACTCATATGTGGAGCCCAGAATAACATGCTGCACTGAAACTTCACCTAGATCATATATCGAATCCATTATGCTTAGAATGCTCTTTCAAAAGAAACTGCTCACAGAGTCTGAGACTGTATCTGCATGCAGTCACACCTAAGCTTCCCACTGGGCAGGTGTTCAGAGTGCAAGGCAGTCCCTTCAGTTCCTTGGGACTCAATGGATCTCCCTGACAATTTCATCTGTAATCTCTTCAAGAAATGAACAAGTGAACCCTGGCACCAAATCCTGTTAAACTACTCTAGCTGAGCGGGATCAGCCCCTTCCCATCACTGAGGCCCCAGGGGCACGGGATGCTCACAGTGCCAGTGGCTGAGGGATCCTCGGGAGCTGCTGCTGGAGGAGCCAGAAACGCACAAGGAGCATTGCAGGCACTGCAGGGACAGGTCACTGCTCTGCCTGCTCCCGCCGCTGCTTCCTTTGCTGCCGCCCAGAGTCGTTTCCGGCAGCTCTGTTCTCTCGGCGCTGGGACGCGCTTTCTGCCTCTGCCCCACTCAGCAAACACGCAGCTCGCTCTCGCCATGCACCTCGCAAATCTCATCCTCACCGTCTGCCTGGGCCAGCTCCTCGGTAAGTCCTGGATCTTCCCCAAGGCACCCGTGTTCTTCTTCTTCTCCTCTTCTTCTTCCTACCCCCCAGGAAATCCTCAAAAGCCTTATCAGCACCATGGGGGAAAATGCCACTGAATAAAAGGAAAAAACCTAGAAAAATCTGCTTGTTTTTGTGTTTTTGCAAGTGTTTGCTGAAGGGATTACCCTATTTTAAAGGGAAGGGAAGAGAAAGAAGCCCGAGGATCAATTCTCTGTCTCTTTCGCCTTCAGTCCATCTCCCTCTGCCTCTCTCTTCTCATCCTTTTGCAGTCACCTCAGGAGATCTCAGCTGTCCCTACAGTCCCACATTCTTCCCATTTCAACCAACATTCCCAGCTCCTCTCAAGCCCTCCCCAGGCACCTCCAACTTCTCCCTTCACTGACATTAACAGGGTGTCCCATTCTGCCTCCAGCCTCACACAGCTCTGCCACAGCTTCCAGACTTCACTGGGATGGACACAACCAGGGCTCTCCTTTTACAGGATCATCTTTCTGTGTGTTTAGATTCTGAGGAGCCCTCAGAGGTGACAGGGATGGGGAAGCAGGATGAGCCTTTCTGCTGTACCTTGCTGGGCTCCTCAGGCAGCTGGAGGGTTGCTGGTTCCAGCACACACAGTTCAGCCATGACAGGCTGTTCCCTGTTCCTTCATGCATGTGGGGGCGGGGATGTGGCCTGGGGTGGGCTGGGGTGCTCCTGCACGTCCCCGGAGGCTGTCGTCCTGCCTGGCTCCTTCACAGACCTTTTCTCGGGCTCTGTTCTCCTACTCAACCTTTTCACTTCTGCACGCCATATTCCCGCAGAAATCTGATTCAATTCTATGTCCCTGCACGCATAAGCATTCAATTCCTCTCCTTCTTAATTTCTTTCAAAGTCTGCCCTTAGCCGTTGTTACTTTTCTTTTTTTCTTTTTGTGCTTCCTCCTACATCCTTCCATTCTGAAGTGACTCCACTTTTCTTTCTGTCGTTCAGGCATTAATCTCTCCACAAACCCGTAATGGACACTTCCATTCCTCCTTATCTTGAAATCAACTCAGTACTATTTTTCTCATCGTCTCTGTACATTCCCAACGATTTCATCGATATTTGATCTGTGAAGTGAGGGGTGTAGAATTTAAAGGTTATGTACATTCTATTTCTGGCAGTGGCTTCAGGCAGAGCCCAGGTGCAGCAGGAACCATTCCTGGAGACCACCGAGGGCACCGGCATCAACATCACCTGCTCACACCCCAAAAAGCAGATCGAGGATTACATCCATTTCTACCGTCAGCTGCCGGGCCGAGCACCCAAATTCCTCGCCCTCACAGCTAGAGGCTCCAAGGCTGTGCCGGCCATTGCAGGACAGCTGTGGGTGTCGCAGGACGGGCGTCGGAGCGCGCTGTGGCTCGGGCGGCCCCGGCGCGGGGACGCGGCCGTGTATTACTGCGCGCTGGGGCCACGGGCAGAGGAGCCGGGGCTGCGGCCGGGCACGAACCGCCGCGGGCGGGGCCGGGCGGGGCCAGCAGGGGGCGCTGCCGCTCCGCCCGCCGCGCTCCCGCGGTTCCGATCTGCAAAGGACCCGGCCACCCTCACCTTCCCCCTGACAGGCACTGATCCTTTCCCTGCACATCAGTAACACCTCACGCGTCCCGAAAAGCAAACGCAAGGGTTTAGCAACGCTGCAAGTGTCAGAGGGAGACACTTGAAAGACAGGGCCTCCGTTCCCCGCCAGGACTCGGCGAGAGCCCGAGCGGCAGCGGCGCAGGGCTCAGCCCCGGGGCGGAGCTGGCGGCGGCGGAGAGGAGGCGGCACGGCCGCAGCAGAGCCGGGGCTCAGCGGCACAGCGAGGCTCGGCCGGCGGAGCGGCGGCATGCGGCGGGCTCGGGGCGCGGCGCTGCCGGCGCTGGCCGCGCTGGTCATCGGTGAGAAGGGGTGGCGTCGGAGGGGCATCTGGGTCAGAGGGCTATTTGACACCGACTCCAACTGAAGACCTCTTGCTCTCCTATTTCTTTTCTCCTCTATTCACTCCACTGCCCACATAATTTTTTCCTCTCCATGAAGTCGTTGCTTCGCAGTTTCCTTTTTTCCTCCTTATCTTCATCCATCCATCAATCCATCCATCCATCCATCCATCCATCCATCCATCCATCCATCCGTCCATCCATCCTTCATTTTCAGCCGCTCTCTTTATGACATTTCTTTCTGATTTACCTTCAAAACATCCATCAAATATTCTTATCTCCTACCAAACACTCTCAGAAAAATAATGACTCTATACTGTATTCTGAAAAGATACCCAACTTCACCCTGATCTGTCGTCCTCTACCATCTCCCTCTGAACGGCGTTTTCTGTTTTAGAAAAGTGATTGTTCTTTTCTCCGTGGCAGTGGCTGTGGTCAGAGCTCAGGTACAGCAGGAGCCATTCCTGGAGACCACCGAGGGCACCGGCATCAACATCACCTGCTCACACCCCGAAATCCAGAGCAGCCAAACAATCTTCTGGTACCGACAATTGCCTGGCCGGGGACCCGAATACCTCGTGAGCATTCACAAGGGCTCCAAAGAGCTGCCGGACAGTGCGGGCCGTGTGTGGGTGTCGGCAGATCGGCGTGGGAGCGCGCTGTGGCTCGGGCGGCCCCGGCGCGGGGACGCGGCCGTGTATTACTGCGCGCTGGGGCCACGGGCAGAGGAGCCGGGGCTGCGGCCGGGCACGAACCGCCGCGGGCGGGGCCGGGCGGGGCCAGCAGGGGGCGCTGCCGCTCCCGCTTGACGCCTCTCGCCGGGGCCGGCACCGAGCCGCGCCTGCAACCCCCGGCATCCCGACCGGGAGCAACCACGGGCCCGCCACACGGCCTGGCCTGCTGCCAGAGACCCCTCCGGGCACAAGGATGCTGCCCTGCACGGCACACAAACCACTTCTGCCGGGATGGAACATTTCAGCAGCGGTCCAGGCAATCAGGAAAGGAATTTCTGATCCCATTGCATTGGCAGCCAAAGGAAGGCTCAGGAGATGTTGGCTCCCTGCTCGGTGAGGAAAGGGACCTTCTGGCAAATGACAGAGAAAAAGCCGACACACTCCGTGCCTGCCTGCCCTCAGTGTAACTGCTTTGCTTCTCCTCACTTCCATTACATCCCTGAGCCTCCCTGACACCTTTCTGGGAATAAAGCAGCACTCTGAGAAGGGGAAGTATTTAAAGAACTCCCTCTCCACACACATGGTATCACAAACACACTCTGGGGCTTGTACACACCCAAACAGTAACTCATAGCTCGGCATTGATGAAGATGTGTGTGTACACATGTTTGCAATGTAGACCCAGGCACAGACACTTCTCCTTGTGACATGTCCCCAGTGATGTGCAAACACTCATGCTCGCTCCTGTTGCTGCTCCTGCACCCAAGTCTGTGCACGCACATCTATGTGAATATTCCCATTCAGGGGTGTGCATACATAAAGCACATCCCAACATGGATCTGTTCCCATACACTTACATAGACACCTTCCCTTCATCCCTCCTCAGCTCACCCTGATGCTCACAGGGTTTTGCCTCCCTGTGTGTCACCATTGGGCTGCTGGGTCTGACCCTGTCCTGTTGAGATTGCCTTCAGGAAAGCCTTTGTGCATCGCTCTGTTCAGCCTGTCACTACACAAATCATGCCATGGCCTTGCCTGACTCCTTGTTCTTCCTCACAAGGCTCCAGCCCTGCTGCAGGGTTTCCCTGGTTTCCTCAGCAGCGTCCATGGCTGATTATGGTCTTGCCTGTGTTCCTGGTTTTTGTGCATTTGTGTTCAGGCAGGGCCCACAGGAATCCATGTGGGAGCACAAAATCCTGCATGAATCCACCCCGATATGCAGGGCCCTTGTGTGTGTGTATGTGTGTGTGTGTCTGTGTGTCTGTGTGTCCTATTGTGTCACTCAGCAAGTTAAATGTGTTGATCTCCCTGGAGACACTCTCCACTGCTCTGCTGTGATCATCACGGAGCAGCATTTGCCCACACTCAGAAGGATCCTGAGAGCAGTTGAACAATGATGAAGCAGCCTGGAGGACATTTGTCCAGGGAAGAGGCACTGAAATGCAGTCCCTGCTTCCTGAGCCTTCCTTTTCCAGCTCCTCTAAACATCACAATCTGCTACAGCCAAATGCCAGCCCAAACAAGGATGGTTTCAGCCAAGTTTGGGATATAAAGCTTAATTCTGTTGCAAATGTTGGCAGTGGCTCAGCATTGCTGGCAGTGCTCACACACACCCGGACATACAGATACATGGACATAGGGATTCATAGATACATGGACACACAGACACACAGGCACAGACACATAGACACATGGATACATGGACACATGGCCACGCAGACTGACAGACAGACACACAGACACAGAGACACACAAACAGGTCTCTCCAGGCCAGTGCACAGCTGCCCTCCCCTGAGCTGCATCACATTGGTTTCATGGACACCGAGAAAGGCTGAGGCTTTATGCCCAGCTCCTGTACCCGTGTGTGTGGGTTTCTTTCCAGTGTCCTGAAGGACAATTCTGGAGTCCCCACACGACAGCAAAGTCAGCATGTGAGGGAACAGATGATGGGAGCGAAGAAATCCCAGGCAGTGTCAATGGTGAGCTCCACGATGCCAGGCCGATGCCCTGCCCCCCAGGCCGGCCCCGGCGCTCCCGACGTGCAGAGAGCCGAGCGCCGCCCCGCAGCCCCCGCGCTCGCCTCCGCTCCGTTCCCCGCCAGGACTCGGCGAGAGCCCGAGCGGCAGCGGCGCAGGGCTCAGCCCCGGGGCGGAGCTGGCGGCGGCGGAGAGGAGGCGGCACGGCCGCAGCAGAGCCGGGGCTCAGCGGCACAGCGAGGCTCGGCCGGCGGAGCGGCGGCATGCGGCGGGCTCGGGGCGCGGCGCTGGCCACGCTGATGATCGGTACGTGGGGGTGCCGTACAGGCCGGTTCTGAGTTGGGGTGATCCTGCAGATGCCCGGATGCTGCCGTCCTGCCTGGCTTCTTGCCAGGACTTTTCTCCAGAACTGTTCTCTTGTTAATCCTTCCTTCTTCTCCATCTCATACTCCCACATAAATCTCCGGATTGTATTCTATGATAAACCGGGACAATCATTCCTTCTTTAGAACTCACAAAGTTGGACCATAGACCTTGCTTATTTTCTTATTGCCTTTTTCTGCTTCCTCCCACATCGTCCCAGTCTCCTGCAACTGCACTGATCGTTCTGTCATTCACTCATTCATTTCTCCACAAACGATTCATTAACACTTCCATTGCTGCGCATCTTCTTGGCATCCTCTGGGAAATGTTTTCCTCCTCATCTCCCTGTGTTCCTGACTGCTTCTGTGGGTTTTGTTCTGGGGATTGGCAAGCAGAACTGGATAGAAAGCAGGAGTTGTCGTTTGTTTGTTTTTTCTCCCTGGCAGTGTCTGCGGTCAGAGCCCAATTGGAGCAGGAGCCATTCCTGGAGACCGTCGAGGGCAGCAGCATCAGCATCAAGTGCTCTCACCCCAATATCCAGAGGGGCGATTTCATTCACTGGTACCGTCAGCTGCCGGGCAAAGGGCCCGAACTCGTGGTCATGACTGTGCAAGCGTCCAAGGAGGTGCGATCCCCTGAAGGGCGCCTGACGGTGTCGGCAGATCGGCGTCGGAGCGCGCTGTGGCTCGGGCGGCCCCGGCGCGGGGACGCGGCCGTGTATTACTGCGCGCTGGGGCCACGGGCAGAGGAGCCGGGGCTGCGGCCGGGCACGAACCGCCGCGGGCGGGGCCGGGCGGGGCCAGCAGGGGGCGCTGCCGCTCCCGCTCGGCCCGGGCTGCGGCACCGGGACCGACACCGGCACCGACAATGGACATCGGCCCCAGAACCGGCGCCGCCACGGACACAGGCACCGGTAGCGATACCGGTACTGGCGCCGACAACAGCGCCCACACCGGCACCAGCTCCGGCTTTCAGCCACCGACCGTGCTCAGCCCCTCTCCTCAGCCCGGGCTGCGTCCGGCTTAGCTGCTCAAGCCATCAAACAGCCCCACCCGGCCACAGCTACATGTGCACACTGTGATGGTCTATGTGAGGCAGGGCGGGCAGCAGGGTCTTTCCCAAACCGCCTTTTGCTCCTTCAGACAGGGCTCTGTACCTTCTGGGGAACGGGGCAACCTCTAGCCTGTCTGCAAAGGTGGGGCAAAGGTTCTCTTAGAAATGCATCAGTGAGGACACACATTCCCACCCAGCCCATATCAGGCCTCTTCTCCTCTTGCCTTTGTCCTTCTCTTCCCATGCCTGCTGGGCTGGTTTTGCCTTTTGAAAAGGCCAAGTGACAGCTCAAGGTCACTCATATGTGGAGCCCAGAATAACATGCTGCACTGAAACTTCACCTAGATCATATATCGAATCCATTATGCTTAGAATGCTCTTTCAAAAGAAACTGCTCACAGAGTCTGAGACTGTATCTGCATGCAGTCACACCTAAGCTTCCCACTGGGCAGGTGTTCAGAGTGCAAGGCAGTCCCTTCAGTTCCTTGGGACTCAATGGATCTCCCTGACAATTTCATCTGTAATCTCTTCAAGAAATGAACAAGTGAACCCTGGCACCAAATCCTGTTAAACTACTCTTGCATGCACGCACACACAGACAGACGGACACAATGATACACGGACACAGACACACGAACAGGTGTCTCCAGGCCAGTGCACAGCTGCTCTCCCCTGACCTGCATCACATTGGTTTCATGGACACAGAGAAAGGCTGAGGCTTTATGCCCAGCTCCTGTATCCGTCCTTTCCAGTGCCCTGAAGGACAATTCGGGAGTCCCCACATGACAGCAAAGGGAGGATGGGAGGGAACAGATGATGGGAGCGAAGGAAACGCAGGCACTGTCAATGGTGAGCTCCACGATGCCAGGCCGATGCCCTGCCCCCCAGGCCGGCCCCGGCGCTCCCGACGTGCAGAGAGCCGAGCGCCGCCCCGCAGCCCCCGCGCTCGCCTCCGCTCCGTTCCCCGCCAGGACTCGGCGAGAGCCCGAGCGGCAGCGGCGCAGGGCTCAGCCCCGGGGCGGAGCTGGCGGCGGCGGAGAGGAGGCGGCACGGCCGCAGCAGAGCCGGGGCTCAGCGGCACAGCGAGGCTCGGCCGGCGGAGCGGCGGCATGCGGCGGGCTCGGGGCGCGGCGCTGCCGGCGCTGGCCCTGGTGCTGATCGGTGCGCGGGGTTTGGCACCAAGTGGGCAGGGGCTGGGCCTGGGGTATTCCCTAGGGAGACTGGCACGGATGTTTCCCTCTGTTCCCCAACTCCTTTTCTCTCCCGGTCTCTCTGCCATCTGTCATCCCAGCAAGTCTTCTTAATCTGTGTTAGTAAAGCCTGCTTGTGTGCATTCCTGTTTTTCCGTGCACCTATACCTTGCCCTGTACATCCAGCATATATTTTTGCCCTGAATGCAGCCTTCTGTTCTTCACTTAAGCTCTTCATTTCTATATCCATCCGTGCATGTGCAGACCTGACTTCTGCCTATTGTATGCACTCATGAATTTCGAATTTCTCGCATTTTTTTCCAGTCTGCCTCTGCCTTGTGGCCACTGTTCCTAACTCCGTCTGGCAAAAGTATTCTCACTATCACACGGTTTTGATGATGTTTGTTCTTTCTTCCTCCTTTCCCAGCCGTGGCTGCGGACACAGACCAAGTGCAGCAGAGGCCATGGGCAGAGACCACCGAGGGCACCAGCCTGAACCTCACTTGCCAGCACCCCAAAATCGCTGCCGACTCCACCCACTGGTATCGCCAATTCCCACACCAAGCACCCCAGCTGATAGCAACGGCTGTCCTCGGCACAAAACCCGTGCTGGAGCCAGAGGGGAGTCTGACGGTGTCGGCAGACCGGCGCTCGAGCGCGCTGTGGCTCGGGCGGCCCCGGCGCGGGGACGCGGCCGTGTATTACTGCGCGCTGGGGCCACGGGCAGAGGAGCCGGGGCTGCGGCCGGGCACGAACCGCCGCGGGCGGGGCCGGGCGGGGCCAGCAGGGGGCGCTGCCGCTCCCGCTCGGCCCGGGCTGCGGCACCGGGACCGACAAAGCACCCCAGCTGATAGCAACGGCTGTCCTCGGCACAAAACCCGTGCTGGAGCCAGAGGGGAGTCTGACGGTGTCGGCAGATCGGCGTTGGAGCGCGCTGTGGCTCGGGCGGCCCCGGCGCGGGGACGCGGCCGTGTATTACTGCGCGCTGGGGCCACGGGCAGAGGAGCCGGGGCTGCGGCCGGGCACGAACCGCCGCGGGCGGGGCCGGGCGGGGCCAGCAGGGGGCGCTGCCGCTCCCGCTCGGCCCGGGCTGCGGCACCGGGACCGACACCGGCACCGACAATGGACATCGGCCCCAGAACCGGCGCCGCCACGGACACAGGCACCGGTAGCGATACCGGTACTGGCGCCGACAACAGCGCCCACACCGGCACCAGCTCCGGCTTTCAGCCACCGACCGTGCTCAGCCCCTCTCCTCAGCCCGGGCTGCGTCCGGCTTAGCTGCTCAAGCCATCAAACAGCCCCACCCGGCCACAGCTACATGTGCACACTGTGATGGTCTATGTGAGGCAGGGCGGGCAGCAGGGTCTTTCCCAAACCGCCTTTTGCTCCTTCAGACAGGGCTCTGTACCTTCTGGGGAACGGGGCAACCTCTAGCCTGTCTGCAAAGGTGGGGCAAAGGTTCTCTTAGAAATGCATCAGTGAGGACACACATTCCCACCCAGCCCATATCAGGCCTCTTCTCCTCTTGCCTTTGTCCTTCTCTTCCCATGCCTGCTGGGCTGGTTTTGCCTTTTGAAAAGGCCAAGTGACAGCTCAAGGTCACTCATATGTGGAGCCCAGAATAACATGCTGCACTGAAACTTCACCTAGATCATATATCGAATCCATTATGCTTAGAATGCTCTTTCAAAAGAAACTGCTCACAGAGTCTGAGACTGTATCTGCATGCAGTCACACCTAAGCTTCCCACTGGGCAGGTGTTCAGAGTGCAAGGCAGTCCCTTCAGTTCCTTGGGACTCAATGGATCTCCCTGACAATTTCATCTGTAATCTCTTCAAGAAATGAACAAGTGAACCCTGGCACCAAATCCTGTTAAACTACTCTTGCATGCACGCACACACAGACAGACGGACACAATGATACACGGACACAGACACACGAACAGGTGTCTCCAGGCCAGTGCACAGCTGCTCTCCCCTGACCTGCATCACATTGGTTTCATGGACACAGAGAAAGGCTGAGGCTTTATGCCCAGCTCCTGTATCCGTCCTTTCCAGTGCCCTGAAGGACAATTCGGGAGTCCCCACATGACAGCAAAGGGAGGATGGGAGGGAACAGATGATGGGAGCGAAGGAAACGCAGGCACTGTCAATGGTGAGCTCCACGATGCCAGGCCGATGCCCTGCCCCCCAGGCCGGCCCCGGCGCTCCCGACGTGCAGAGAGCCGAGCGCCGCCCCGCAGCCCCCGCGCTCGCCTCCGCTCCGTTCCCCGCCAGGACTCGGCGAGAGCCCGAGCGGCAGCGGCGCAGGGCTCAGCCCCGGGGCGGAGCTGGCGGCGGCGGAGAGGAGGCGGCACGGCCGCAGCAGAGCCGGGGCTCAGCGGCACAGCGAGGCTCGGCCGGCGGAGCGGCGGCATGCGGCGGGCTCGGGGCGCGGCGCTGCCGGCGCTGGCCGCGCTGGTCATCGGTGAGAAGGGGTGGCGTCGGAGGGGCATCTGGGTCAGAGGGCTATTTGACACCGACTCCAACTGAAGACCTCTTGCTCTCCTATTTCTTTTCTCCTCTATTCACTCCACTGCCCACATAATTTTTTCCTCTCCATGAAGTCGTTGCTTCGCAGTTTCCTTTTTTCCTCCTTATCTTCATCCATCCATCAATCCATCCATCCATCCATCCATCCATCCATCCATCCATCCATCCGTCCATCCATCCTTCATTTTCAGCCGCTCTCTTTATGACATTTCTTTCTGATTTACCTTCAAAACATCCATCAAATATTCTTATCTCCTACCAAACACTCTCAGAAAAATAATGACTCTATACTGTATTCTGAAAAGATACCCAACTTCACCCTGATCTGTCGTCCTCTACCATCTCCCTCTGAACGGCGTTTTCTGTTTTAGAAAAGTGATTGTTCTTTTCTCCGTGGCAGTGGCTGTGGTCAGAGCTCAGGTACAGCAGGAGCCATTCCTGGAGACCACCGAGGGCACCGGCATCAACATCACCTGCTCACACCCCGAAATCCAGAGCAGCCAAACAATCTTCTGGTACCGACAATTGCCTGGCCGGGGACCCGAATACCTCGTGAGCATTCACAAGGGCTCCAAAGAGCTGCCGGACAGTGCGGGCCGTGTGTGGGTGTCGGCAGATCGGCGTGGGAGCGCGCTGTGGCTCGGGCGGCCCCGGCGCGGGGACGCGGCCGTGTATTACTGCGCGCTGGGGCCACGGGCAGAGGAGCCGGGGCTGCGGCCGGGCACGAACCGCCGCGGGCGGGGCCGGGCGGGGCCAGCAGGGGGCGCTGCCGCTCCGCCCGCCGGGGCGCTGCCGGCACCGGCAATGGGAACGGGAACGGGACCGGGACCGGCACCGGGAATGGGAACGGGACCGGGACCGGCACCGGCAATGGGAACGGGACCGGCACCGGGACCGGGAATGGGAGCGGGAGCGGGATCGGGACCGGGAATGGGAGCGGGACCGGGACCGGGAATGGGAACGGGACCGGCACCGGGAATGGGACCGGGACCGGCAATGGGAGCGGGACCGGCACCGGCACCGGGAATGGGAACGGGACCGGCACCGGGAATGGGACCGGGACCGGCAATGGGAGCGGGACCGGCACCGGCACCGGGAATGGGAACGGGACCGGCACCGGGAATGGGACCGGGACCGGCAATGGGAGCGGGACCGGCACCGGGAATGGGAGCGGGACCGGGACCGGCACCGGGAATGGGAGCGGGACCGGCACCGGGAATGGGATCGGGACCGGGACCCACGCCAACACTGACACTGGCACCTGCACCGGCGCCTGCAGCTTGTGGAGGTGATAATTTTCTGAACAATTCATCTTGAATGCACGACATTCCATCTGATACCATGGACTGGGGATTGGCGTCCTGTATGAAGAGCTTTTTTTGTTTGTTTTATGTGACAGGATAAGAAGCTCAAGCATCAAAACATTTCAGTGTGGGCAGAGGACTCAGATCACCTGCTGGACAAGTCCAGAAGAGGAATTATGTCAGTCTGGGCCACTCCTTTGGAGTCATTATGGCCCCGTTGGCAAGAAATGGCCGGTTCCTGGGTTTGACCATATCCCACCTAACACTGTATCAGGAAAATTCTGCTGGCTTGTTCTGTCTCTTCCTCTTCTGTATCAGGGAGGTGTCATGGGGCAAGAAGGGGTGCAGGGTCCCTCCCTGATCTTAGAAACAAAGGTCTGGTAGCAAATGTCTAAAGGGATGTATTAGTAACACAGAATAAAACCAGGAGTATAGATAGGAATGAAACCTTGCATTCTTTCAAATGCTAGGAATCCTGCATTCATACAGCATTATACAGACCCTGGTAGATTTCCAAAGACACTCTCACAGACCCCAACCAGAAAGAGCTTCTGCTTCCCTCCCACACCTTGGTGCTTTATATCCTGTATAACAAAAAAAAAAAACAAAAAAAAAAAACCACCACAAACAAACACATTTTCTCCTTACATGCTGTAAGGTTTTCAAACAACACCATTAGCCCACCTGGGCTTTGCCCTTCTCCAGAATGCTCCAGCACCCCTGATGGGGCTGCTCCCAGCCATTTTCTCCTTACATGCTGTAAGGTTATTTCTACCATGATGCCCACACACAGAGGCTGGCACAGGGCACTGTAGGGGCTTCCCAAATCTTCAGTACAAAGCCCAACAGAGCAGACATGTATCACCCATGATCACTGACTCATTGCATACAAAGTTTTCTTCAAAGCTCCCAATTCACCTCCCTTCTGTGCTGTCTTCAAACAACACCATTAGCCCACCTGGGCTTTGCCCTTCTCCAGAATGCTCCAGCACCCCTGATGGGGCTGCTCCCAGCGTGTCCCCAGCTGAGTGCACAGTTTGGCATGTTCCTGCATGTGTTCTCTCACCTGGACTTCCCTGCATGCTGGATTTCTGCAAGTGCTTTTGGGTGCAGACTTTTGCATGAGTGATGTGAGTCACATGAACATCTGTATGTTTGTGTGTCCCTCCTCACAAGGGATGTGCTGCTCACAGCAAGGACTCTCTCTGCTGCTCTGCCCACAAGCTCCACCAAGCAGCCAGGACCAGGAGGAGATTAAGTGCAGCTGAACAGATCAAACCTGCCAGAGATCTGCCCATAGCAGAGGCACTGAAATGCAGCCTGCTGTATCTTCAGCCACCTCTATCCTGCACCTACAAAGCTCAGTTTCCCTGCTGATTTCAGGCCTCACAACAGTTTGGATTCTTAGCTTAATTTGTTCTGAGAGTATTTGGAGTGCAATCCCACAGCTGGAAATCTTGTCTCTGTTCCCCACCAGCACAAGACACAGCTTTTGTCCCAAGTGCTAGAGAGTACAAAAGGTTAGGGTTTGCCTTATGAGTTCCTTCTTGGAGGCAAGGGAGCATTACTGGCTCACTGTCAGCATGGTATCCAGCAGGACCCCCAGGCTGTTTCTGCAAATCTGTTTAACAACTGGGCAGCTCCCAGCACATACTGGTGCATGGGGTTGTTCCTCCCCGGCTGCAGAACAGCCCTTGTCTCCAAAGGAGGAAACACGAGTGCATTACTGCCCTCCCAAAGGCACCAGTTCCTTCCCAATGTAGCTTTCAAAGTGCTCACATTGGCTGGGCAGTCTGTCACAAACATCTGCACCTTGCACTGAAATCACAGGTCCCGTGGGTCATCAGGGACCAGTGAGCCTGGGCACCTTCTGGGCGTCGCTGGGTCCTCAGAGAACAGTGGCTGCTTTGGCCAGGGGATGTTCACCACCTGGGCAGACTTCAGTGAGGGTCTTTGATTTACAGGGCCACCCTCACCTTGCAGCCTTGGCTGATAAAAAGTACATTGCTGCAGAATCAGATGCCCAGCAGTGAAGATCTCTCTATTTTAGTCAGAGTATGCACCAAAATGAGAAAGAGCAAAAGCTCGGGATTTGCCAGAAGGCTGGAGAGGGAGAGAGGTGCTGCTCAGGAACTGCTCTTTGGCAATTCTCTGCTCACCAGATCCACACACCAGCGTTTTGCTCCTGTCTCTGTCCCCATCCCAGTCCCTTTCCTTTTTGCTGTGCCAACAGTGGCTGGCAAACTCCAAGTCATGCCCTTATGCCTTGCACAGGATGGGGCTGCAGATTCCTCCTCCTCACCATGCCCTCAGTTTTTTCTCCCCCAGCCTGCACTAAGTCAACCCATTGGAACCAGGACTCCACCACCCTATTTTAGAAATTTATGTGTTCACCCATTAAAACACCCTTTTCCCACCAATCAACTTCCTCCCTCGTCTCCTGAGTCGTCATGTATGGAGAAGCACTGAACAACTGCTCTCAAAATATCAGAGGCTAAACTAAGAGAAACCCAAAACTCTTTGAAAAGAGCATGACACCTGTGTTTCCCAGAGCCCTGAATGCTCTGAGGACGCTCTGAGGAGCTGTTGTGCTTTCAGAAGCCTGCCAAGCATCAAGGAGCACGCAAAAGCAGACACACTCTGCAGCGAGGCACAGATGTTACCTCGCACAGTAAATGCTGTGAACAGAGAAGGAATCCCAAGGAAAAGTACAGGAAGCCACTGAGACTGTCCGTTCTCGGCTGTGAGACAAGAAAAGGCAAAAGGTGTATGAGCCTCATTCCAAAAAGGTGTATGAGCCCTCCACACTGCAGAGGTGTGACTGTGTCACACATGCACTGCACTCTCTCTGCAGAGAGAGTGGTGCCTTTTCATTGTGCTACCAAGAGTGTTCTGCTCTGTGCTGAGAGTCTTGTGAAGGAAAACGAATCCTGAGCTGGGAAAAATGATCTTCACCATGGCTGTGCCAGCATGTGTCCTGCTAATCCAATCAGGTGGGTGTATTCAAATCCTTCTTGTTGTGTCTCATGGTTTTTAGTAAATTATTTGGAGGTGTCTACCAACAAGAGCATGAGGTCAGGGAGAAATATAGAAGGGGGATGGATGTAGATATTTGAACTTTCAATTTCTTTGGAAAGACAACAAAGTTTGGGGCAGTTTTAAACACAGGGCAAGGGAGAGAAAGAAGCAAACTTCTCTGCAGACACATTTATGCCTGTGTTGCAGGTCTGGTTGGAGGTGATCCCCCGAAGCAATTCTTCTCTGAGGTGCTAGTCAAAGTTGGACAGCAAGTGGCTCTTCCTTGTGAGTCCACCACTAAGGGGAGTGACACCAATCTGAACTTCATCTGGTACCGCCAGTTCCCGGGAAATACTCTGATATTTCTCCTGCAAGCACATAAAACCACAGGGGATGACAGGTACCGCAGTGGCCGATTCTCTGTGGTGGTCTACAAAAATAACACAGCCCCCTTAGAAATAGCAGGAGTGTCTCTTCGGGACACTGCGATTTATTACTGCACTCTGAGGCTCCACCTTAAGCTAAGGCAAATTTCCGTTCGTACAAAATCTGTGTCACCAGTAGCACAGGGGGGAGATGCTCTACATCCTCCAGCCTCAGCTGTGCTTTCATGCCTGAAATGATCCTCTCTCTCTTATACCAGCCTTTCCAACTTCTCCTATCCCTCCCAACTCCTGCCTATTTTTCTCAAAGTCCCATCTATGCAGAAGTATTCAGAGCAGTGACTCAGACAGGTAGGCCCATGGGACTCTTTACAGATGAGCTGAAACATTATTTTCCTTACTTCTTCATACAGAACATCCCTCAAGAAAGCAATCAACATATCTGGACATAACATCCAATTGCAGTGTCAATCCTTACCTGCACTTCCAGGGAGCTGACACTGCAGAATCCAGTGCTGGGGCATCCCGTCCAAAGCCTTGACCAAGCTGTGGGCAGAGCCAGGAGATCCACATCTCTGCTTTGCTCCTGACAAGCCCTAGCCCTTGATATGAGAACCCAATGGACCACAGACCTCATCTTGCTTCTCTTTGCAGAGTAGCCAAAGAAGACAAAAGTAGCTTTTACCTTAATGCCTTGAGCACTGGGCAGGGCAACCTTCTCTGTGCTGCTCATGGTTAAATGATGAAATCCTCCCACAACCCAGCCAGCATGAAATTTGCTACTTTGAAAAACACCAGTGAAGAATAAAGCTACTAAAATTTTGAAATACCTAAGCAACCAACAGCACTGCAGTCCATGAGGCAAGAGGTTCTGCATATTTAATACACTGCCTTGAGATCATCAGATAATGACAACTGATTGAAGACAAAAATGAAGATGATGATCATGGTGAGAGTTTGCTCTGGACTGGGCTCACTGTTTGGTAGAGTTGGAAACTCAAAGGCAAGTTGGTTTAGGCAGCCCAAGTAGAACTCAGCTTAGCCTATTCTACAAGGAGAACTCCTGGAGCCATGGTGGTCCTGTTGCTCA